TATATATATATATGTATTTTTAATATATATATATTTTAAAATTATATAAATATATATATTCATGTTTATGCTCTTATCGGCAGTTTTCCACTTCAGCTACTGTTCAGATGTCAGAATCCAATTCATTAGACCAGTCCGTCGCCAGTGTCAACTCCAAAGATGCAAGCAATACGGCGATCTCTACCAGCAAGGATGCCACCAACAATACCAAGACTGTTGCTCGCTTCACAGTAGAGCCAGGCTTGGCTGATTATGGCGCAGTGGAGGGTGAGAAGATAGAAGGTATCAGCACCAATGTCGAGGGAGACGCTGCACTAGCGTGGGAAGAAGAAGAGGTAGATGATGATGTGCACACAGCACTTATCAATGAGATGTGTGGCTCTGAAAATCAGATGGCTCCTACTTTGCGGTATGTGTGAGTGTGTGTGTCTGTCTGTGTATGTCTGGCTGCAGCTCATAAACTTTTCGAAAGCCTGTGTCTAGTTGTATTTAGTGATACAGAGTGAAAGTACGTGTGAATATATGTGCGTGTTCACAATTAATGTATGTATAGTTGTACCGATAGCTTACTAGTAGGAGGAACCAGACGATGGTGTCCACACGGCACTGAAACTACAACCTGGTGCGAGTTATTTACGGATAGTGATGTGTATGTATATGTGTATATTAACAATGTCTAGGGATGTTGCAGCGTTGTCAAGAAGAGAGTATGAAACTGTCATTATCACGAGTACCTGGATGTATTTAATGAGAGGTGGGCTCTTGGATACACAGTACGGTCTTAATAAGATATGTGCGTATGACTGTTTGACTCTGTTTGGTAGATTGTATATCGATTGTTTATATAATGTGTTCGGATTACCCGGAGGAAGGTTCAGGTGTACAATTTGCTAGTCACAAATGGTATGGTAATAAAGTTACCATTGGGAGTGTACGTTGTTACTCACATGGTCTTTCGGTGTGTATGGCTGTGATAGGGAGATATTGTTGTTATGAGGTATGTCTGTGCGCGTATTTGACGGAGATGTAACGGGGGGTAGAGGCGGCGTAATGGAGAATGATAGTGCCTGGTAGTTCTGACGTGTTGGTGTGTAAGAGCATGTGTAGCATCGTTAGAGAGGACACACAGCACTTGCATGTGATGGCAAATGTATAAGTTAGTTGCGATTTGCTACTGAAGAGAAGCATACAAAGTAAACAAGCGGCGGCAGTACTTGTTAAAGTATGTGGCTCCGAGAACTAAATGACGTCTATGTTGCTATGTAAAAGTATAGGAATGTATCTTTCTTCCTTGGAGGTGTGAGACCTCGAGATTGATGCTTGCTGAGTGTTTACAAGTTGGTGTAGTAGGTCAGTATGAGCTCCTAGTCCAGATTGAACCAATGTGTGTAAAGCCCATAATTCACCTATCAAGACAGACCAGCCAATTCTAAACCCAAACCTCTTCGGACGTGCCCTCCCGCAGTGTGGTGTTGGACAGTCATCAGGACGGCGAGTTTGTTGATTCGCTGAGACTCTACATAAAAAAAATGGATCTCTACATTGAACGGATCTGTCATCACCACTATGCGGCATGTATACAATTCTAATCATGTGTTGGGTGTGGTTCTGTTACAAATCTATTAATAGGTATCGTGTGTGGAACTGTTACACTTCTATTTATATGTATTGGGCGTAGATGTGTTACACAGACGTTGATGCACGGCTCGACTATACGCAGATATGTTCAACGGACGATTATCTCTGTTACCTGGCACACGCCAATGTATGAGTCTATTGATATATCCGCATGTATATGCTTACACACACTCTTGCATATGACCTATTGGTATATCCGCACGTATATGCTCTCGTGCATATAAGTTCACCTACAATGAGCTGGCATTCGACATCTGGTTCACCCTGCTTCCGGGGTAGTTCCTTTGTGTCTGTTACCTGTTGCGTTTTCTAGTGGGGTGTCATGGTTTGTCCTCTATACTCTGCCCAATAGAGGTCTGAATCGGCTGATTTGGCAGTCAACATATTCCATTAAGGGACCTCTCAGGATATCGTTTCAATTTTCTTATTAAGCGCCGCATCTGCATGCAGTGTGCTAGGCTATTGGGGGGGGGAGTGTTTTGTGAGTGTGAGTTAGGCTATTGGAGGGCGTGGTTGGTGAGTGTGAGCTAGGCTAATGGGGAGGGGGGTGGTTTGTGAGTGTGAGCTAGGCTATTAGAGGGGGTGGTTTGTGGGTAGGTAGGTGGATTAATAGGGGCTTGGTGATGATTCTGTTCTGTGCGAGTCCGTGAATGGGCAACAGATTGACGGATGTCTGCGCTACGTTGCGCTCCCCACATACTATGCGCTGTGTGATGTGTGTTGCCAGTGTACGTGTTCTAAATTATTTGTTGATAGCGTTTGTGCGGATATCCACAAACATGTGGACTTGATGGTACCAAGCATGGTCTGCCAAGTATATACGTGACAGGTTTCACGAATCAATACTTCTTAACATACTTATCACCGTCCAAATTGGATCAATGTTATATATTGTAATTCTCAGGAATTTGTGGACTCTGTAAGGGAAATGCTGCAAGTGCGACGGGAAAGTTTCCAGTTTAAAGAAGATATTCTGGGTTGCGGGCACGAGCTTCTGGTGTGTCTAGTTACGAAACACTATCGAGTGCAAGTACTTTTCGTCCGCAAAAAACATTTCGCTGGGAAACATATATATATATATATATATATATTAAATACATATATATGTATGTATATACACATATATAAATATATAAATATATATATTATATATATATATATATATATATATATATATATATATATATATATATATATAATAATATATATATAATATATATAAACAACACACTAACCACA